ATGATGACGATGGTAAGTAAGATGATGATGATGAGGATGAAGATGGAGCTGACGATGAAGAATATGGTGATGATGTTGATAATGAGAGTAATAAAAACGACGAAGAAGATGATCAAGACGAAAATAATAGCAATGTCTTCAATAATTACTCTAAATTTTAAAAAAAATTTCAAATAACAAACTGTAATTTATTGCAAAAATATTTAGAAGCATGAATTTATTTTTGTCAAACGAAGAAATTAACAGCATCAAAATACGTTAAACAATAATATATGTCACGTACCCAACTATGTAGTATAGTAATCTCATAATGCATGCATGTCACTTCAAAATTTGCATGGTACACACAAGTATGTGGAAGTTGATTATCTCAAATTAGCACTCTGATAGTTTATGTGGTCGGTGTATCAACAAGCAATTTTTTATCTGCTCATTTTTATTTTTGCTCTAATCAACTCACCCCGACATGACATGCGTTTGCTATTTGAATGGAAATTTATGAATATGTAAATTTTCTGTGGTGTGTTAACTTTCACATCTTACATAATTTTTATTAAACTATTCATTTGTTTCATTTACGTTAGTATATATTTTTAATTTTGTTTTAATTTTATTTATCAATTTTCACCAGAACTAGAGAACATAAATTTAGTTCTCCGTAATAAACAGTTCTTCTATGTATAGCAAGTCAGTAAGTCATTATTCGACCATCTTTGAATGTGTCCATCAAAAGGTATATTCAACCATTGGTAACGTTAGCATACGTAGCACGTGTGTATAACAATTTATTTCTAGAGCAGTAGGTACTAGGTACGCTATCAAACTGTTCAGAATATTATCAACGTAGGATCAAACGAAACAATTATAATCTTATAATCTCACAGCTCACAAACTTTTTAAACTTTCATTGAACTTTCCAGTCATTCATTCATAAATTTAACATTATTACTTCATTCATACTTTCATCTTATCGTATCTTCTGCCTTCACTACATACAAATCCTGAACTAAATCATAAAACGAGTGTGAATTGGTCTCTATCCTCAGTATTTGCACTGTCTTCAATATTCTCTTGCTTTTCATCTATTTGTTTATTTAATCTTGCATTCATTCATCTATTTGCGTGCATTCATTCATTCTATCATTTGCTAAATATTAGCATTAGCTAATGATTAATATAATTTTTATAATTATTTGTTTGTTGTCCATACTCATGTTCGCTCGTTCGTTCATTCGCTCGTTCTCATGTTGGTTGGTTGGTTGGTTCGTTCGTTCATTCTTATGTTGGTTCGTTCATTCGTTTTATCAATCATTCATCTGTAAATATTACAAACATATTCATTCATTTATTTATTCATTCAATTAATCAATCATTTGAAGTTCACTTGTTGGTTCGTTCATTCTTTCATTCATTCATTTGTTCAATCATTCATTCGTTCATTCATTCATTCATTCATTCATTCATTCATTCATTCATTCATTCATTCGTTCGTTCGTTCGTTCGTTCGTTCGTTCGTTCGTTCGTTCGTTCGTTCGTTCGTTCGTTCGTTCGTTCGTTCGTTCGTTCGTTCGTTCGTTCGTTCGTTCGTTCGTTCGTTCGTTCGTTCGTTCGTTCGTTCGTTCGTTCGTTCGTTCGTTCGTTCGTTCGTTCGTTCGTTCGTTCGTTCGTTCGTTCGTTCGTTCGTTCGTTCGTTCGTTCGTTCGTTCGTTCGTTCGTTCGTTCGTTCGTTCGTTCGTTCGTTCGTTCGTTCGTTCGTTCGTTCGTTCGTTCGTTCGTTCGTTCGTTCGTTCGTTCGTTCGTTCGTTCGTTCGTTCGTTCGTTCGTTCGTTCGTTCGTTCGTTCGTTCGTTCGTTCGTTCGTTTGTTTGTTCATTCATTCATATTTTACTCATTTATTCATTCATATATTTGTTTGTCGGTTTGATTTAAGATTGTAGTTTGCTGGCTGGCTGTTTCGCTCATTGTTGAAACACCCATTCATGTACTACCCGTTCCCATAGATATTCAACAGACATACTGACAGATAAATAAATGGCTTGGCTACTTGCATGTCTAATTGATAAATTTATTGTAGCAACAAAATATAAATGAATGAACGGACGAATGGATGAATGAGCAAATGAATAAAAGAACAAATGAATTAGTGAATGAATGAACGAATGCGTGAATGAATTGATAAAAAATTAATGAACTTTTTTTGGTTAATGGTTATGAGTATTGTTCTTAACACATTATTATTATTAATTAACAGAAATATTTTTACTCATTTTAGCTTCGTCATCACTGACGTCACCGTATTTATCATCAGCATTTTTTCTATTTTTAATCCTCTTCAACTATCACCTCAACTTTTTTGATCTCAATACCTTGTTTGTTGGGCACTGTTTGGTCAGTAAAAATTCATTGCCTGTCCTCCAACAAAAGGATTAATAATAATAATGTGTGTCTACCATGTTTTTTTGTTATTACTTTCTAATTTACGTTGTTAAATTTTAAATTTTTATAATAAATAGTAAATACATATAATCGCGTTATCATCGCTGAAATATTTTGTTTTGTTAAAAGTTTTGTGACATTTCGTCTTCTTTGGATGATTCATGTTGTTTCAGACGTTAATCAAACTGCAGAAGTAGAGAGTCAGATAATATATGTATGTAGTTGTATTGAACAACCCATTGAACAATACATAAGTTTGTATAAATTGTAAACATTGACACGCGCTGATGTAAAGATGGCGAGTAACGCTGAGCAGATCCCGGTAGTAGCACATACATTACATACATACGATCTTTCGAACGTTGTGTGTGTACTTTAAATAAACAACATTCAAAAAGTTCGCCCACACTCACTGCTTGCATCCTACGCAAGTCTGATCACTTCAAACACACATACGCTCAAATTTTAATACGAATTAAAATTTTATTAACATGAAAGTTCTTTCATTTTTTTTGCATATAGTCTTACTAAGTTCGAGCTCATCACTCGGCAATGCAGCAGAATAAACTTGTTAAAAATAATTATTAACTCAAATCTCGTTACAGAAGTCTTTCAAAAGTTTTTTCATTGAAAATTAAAAAAAACTTGAATATTTATATGAATAGTACTTGTGTTGTGAAAACGAATGTAGCGGTGAGTGAATGTGCTTATAACTAAATGAACGATTAATGAGTGAAGTAATTGAATACAAAATAAATGATTGATCATGAGATAAAATGAACGAACTAATGAATAATTAAATCAGTTAGTTTACAAGAATGAGTTATTGAATGAATGAAGTTGGACCAGGACACAGAATTGTTAACAATCTTTCGTTTGCACTGAAGAAAGTTTAACTTCAAAATCAAAACAAATTGGTCCGTGGTCTTCTACTTAATCGAGCATACATAATGCAATTGTTAAACTTTCTCATCAAATCTCAGAGCACGTTGGTATCCAAACCACTTTTTAAAATTTGAATGAACGACTGCATGAGCGATCGAGTTATTGAGCATACGATTAAAAGTTTCATTTATGTCTATCTGAATAAATGTTAATTAAATGATCGAGGTTGTAAGATTGGCCAGGTAAAAATCTTTTGATCAATTGACAGCTGGTCAATTGATTGTTTGGTTGGTTGCATGGTTGGCTAGTTGGTTGAGTGATATATAATATATAATCAACTAGAGTTTTGTAATTGATTGACTGATTGGTTGGTTAGTTAGTCAACCGAATACTTGGTTGATCGATAGATCGATAATTAGATCGGTTATGTTTATTATCTACTTCATTGTTGTCTAGCTCAGCAAACAGCAAGCGTTTACTATAAATAGACTGATTAAGACACATGGAACGACAACATTACATATCTACACACATCTACTGCCATAGATAAAGATATCTCAATATTAAATAAAATACAGAATGAAATGCAAATATAATGCTTATGTACGTATGCTTCTTACATTCGTATATGAATTATGCATGTGTACATGTGTGTGCATGTGCGCGTGTGTGGTATATACATATAAATATATGCACATATACATACATATATATAAATATATATATATATATATATGTATGTGTGTGTGTGTGTGTGTGTGTATATATATATATATATGTGTGTGTGTGTGTGTGTGTGTATGGTGAGTTTATAGTAACTATTGAGTCGGCGCGGTCGGTGAAAGACATGCTGCACATCAAGTTTGTAGCTTAGCTTCAAAAACAGCCAAACAAAAAGAAAATCACCAATGTTCTCAAGACATTGAAAGCATTTTTCTACCATTCGTTCATAATTTTTGAATTTAAAAAAACTTTTTACGCAGACGTTTGTTTGTTTACCCTGAATATTTTTTTATATTTTGTTAAATCTTCTTCTCGTGATGTAAAAATGTCAGTGATGTTTTATTTATTTTTTTTTTTATTAAGCTTAAATTAGTTGTTTTCGTAATTATACAACGTGTGTGCGTGTTCGCCTGTGTTTGTGTTTGTCTTTGTGTGTGTGTGTGTGTGTGCGTGCGTGTGCATGTGCATGCGTGGGTGTGCGTGTGTCTTTGTGTGCAAGAAACATATTAAATTTGTAAATATAAATAAATTCATATTCATGAAGAATATTTTATGCTCAGTGTATCCAGTTGGCTCATCATTCACATTAACTTGAAATTACACTGGGCAACAAAAAAAATATTTTTTTTTGTATCCTTAACTTTTTTAGTCAAATTATACTAATTTTGGGGTAAGAAAAACGAAAATGCAAACAAAAATTTTTTATTAGCTCTAGTTTCTGAGATATACAACAACAAAAAAATTTTTGGTTTTGCTTATTCACAACATAGCAATATGACATATTTTAATAATATTTAAAGTGCATTTAGTTTTTTCAATAAAGATTACATTCTAACAGTTTTAAACAATAAAAAATAATAAATATAAAAAATATTATGGAATATTTTCGCGCGATTGTGCCATTTTTGCTTTCCGCCTGTATGCGAGCTCTGGAGCATCCCTACATATAAACCAACATTAATCTGCAAGCATAGCTTCATTCCAACGACCCTCATATCTTTTTTCCATTACAGAAATATCTTGGTGGGACCTTTCTCTATGTTCATCACTAACAGCTCCACAAAGTGGAAAGAAGTCTAAATGTGAGTGGAGGAAGTGAATCTTCAAGGACATGTTACGTCTTAGTTGATGGCATTTTTGCAGAAGTACTGTTAACAATTGGATGTAGTTATCATCTCTTCTGTGGCCTAAAAATCCACAAATCACTCCCTTGAGAGATTCCCAAGTTTCTTTTTCTTGCCCCTTCAAAACTTCATCAAATGCAGGATCTTTCACAAGTTCATGTATCTATGGTCCAACAAAAATACCCTCTTTTACTTTTGCATCACTTAGTTTTGGAAATTTGTTTCTTAAATACTTAAAAGCCTGTCCATCTTTGTTCCTTTGACAAAATTTTTCATTAAACCCAGCTTAATGTGTATGGATGGAAAAAGTACATCTTTCAGCAACAAAATTTTTTTCACCTTTGTTGAGATTTCTTGCAGGCCAGTCCTTTTGTGTGTAATATGAAATTTTGTTTCTATGTCCCACATACACATGAAGCAGCAGTATTTGGTATAGTCTAATTGCATTTCTAAAAGTGTGGCAATACTTTTAGGAATACTTTTAGGTCACCACAAATTTTCCATTTGTGTTCGTTATAATTGAGTTAAGAAGAGTTTTCATATTTAGGTAAATTTCTTTCATGTGAGCTGCATGGCCAATAGGAACTGATAGAAAATGATTTCCATTGTGCAGTAATACAGCTTTCAAGCTTAGCTTTGATGAATCTATGAATAATCTCTATTCACTTGGATCATAGTTCAAATTGAGACAATACATTAAACCATAGATATCAACGCAAACAACAAGGTTGTTTTTCTTCTCAAAAAAACGAAGAAGATTTTGTTGCCGTTTTCTGAAATAGGAAACTTTAACATCAGATTGGAGAAGATTCCACTGTTTTAATCTAGACCCTAAAAGTTCTGCCATTTTCAGTGACAAGTCAAGATCTCGAACGAGGTCACTTAATTCTGCTTAATTCCATCTGTGTGGTGCATCATCTGTTGACACAAAATCAGAATCATTTGATGTGGAAGGCTGGCTTTCTTTTCCTTCTTCTATTTCATTTGTGCCTCCATAAATAAAGCATTATAGATAGCCAAGAGGCAAAAAAAATAAATAAAAAAATTTTACCAAAAAATAAAAATTTATGCTCTTGAGGATAGAGTTTTGCTTTTATCTTTTGAACTAGAGCTAATACGTAATTTTTAATGTCGTTTTCGGATTCAGCAGGTGGAAATACATAAGAAACAACTAATTTTGGTTCAGATACAAAAACACTGTTGGGCAGTGTTATCATCGAAAATCAATGAGGTTAACGTTCTAAAGATGTTTAAATGTACGCGTTCCCATTCGATCTAGAGCTATATCTTTGCGTATATGTATGTCTGCATGTGTATGCGTGTGTTTGTGTACGTGTGTGTACATGTGCGTTCAAACGTGTGTTCAAATGTGCGTGTGCCAATTTATCTTGCTACGTGCGTGTGTGAATTTGTTTAAAAGGATGTTTGTGCTTTTTGAGTCTCTTTACATGCGAGCGTTTAAATGAAATAATGAGAAACCACGTTGATTTACAACAAAACCACAACAACAACAACAACAAAAAACATCAACTACAACATAAACAACATCGATAAAAATAAAATCAACAACAACAAGATCAGCAACAACAAAACAGCATCATTAAAAACAACATCAACGCCATTAACAGCAACAAACATTATTAACGTTTCTTTAATTTGCTATGATATGAATGGGACAATGCTAACATTTTTTCATATTATCATTTATTTATTGGTTTTGTTTTTTCTTATTTTTTAATCAAATTTCTTTGTGAGCCCTATTTTATAAATCATTCTATTTATAAAAACATGGTATCAATTATTTGGTATGTTGCTGTTACATAAACGTTACAAGAGCAAAACATTACGATTCAATACAACAACAATAACAATACGATAACGACACACAACAACGCGATTCGATGCAACAACAATAACGATACGAGACAAAACAACAATTCGACACAAAACATCAATCCGACACCGCAAAAACAGTGCTAAAATTTTTAACAACAACAAACCGCAAACAAATAAACAACAATACCTTAATAACAGTATTAACAGATATAACAACAATATACAACACAATCAAACAACGAGCAAGCAAAGCAGTTTGTATCAATAGACAGACAGACAGTATAAATAACTTGTTAGATGCAATTGTCTATTTAATATTTATCGGTGTTTTATGGTTTATCTCCTATTGTTTGTCGCTAGTTATAGCGTATGGTCTGCAATGCTTTGCAATCATGTTGATTGCGAACTGTTTAGTTGTTGGTGTAGGTAGGTTGGTTGGTTGTCGGTTGGTTGACATCAACACACTTGTTCATTTCAGTAAGGTTTGTCTGTCTCATACTGATACACTCTGTTTCTGTTACTGCTTTGTTATTGCTGATGTAGTTGTTGTTGTGTTGCTATTGTTTTGGTGTTGATCTTTTCAGTATTATATTTGGTTTTTTGTTTTGTTGTCGCTAATTTGAAATAGTTTAGTAACCTTCCTAAGCAATGTCGTTTGGTGTTGTTGATGGTTTTGTTGTTGTTGTTGTGATTGAATGAATATGACGTTGTTTTTGGTAGTAACAGATTAAATTTTATGGGTCAAGGAGATTTAGATGATTAATGAAATGTTGTTGTTGGTTGTTGTTGTTGGTTGTTTTTAACAGTTGCTATATCACGCAGGGCTTTTAATAATTTATTTGTCCTTGCCTCCAGTCTGAATTCCAGTTGTGTTCCTAATAAATAAATACCATTTCAGTGTTTTTATCTCTATTATTTCAATTGACTTTTTGTTGTTTTGCATTAGAGGAATGTTGTGTTTGTAGGGTATTTGTTATGGGTTTGTTTGTGTTGTTTGTTGATGTTTTTGTTGGGAGATTTAAAAAAGTTATTGGTTTTGTTGCTGGTACTATCATAGTTTGTTCGTAATTTTTGAAGATTTTGAGACATAAATGTATATACAAATGTGTGTGTTGTGTGTTGTGTGTGTGTGTGTGCGTGTGTGTGTGTGAGTGTGAGTGTGTGTGTGTGTGTGTGTGTGTGTGTGTGGTGTATACCACTTCCAACTATCTATTACGGTATTTATGATTTGGCTTTTGATAAAATATTTAAAAAACTTATTAGAAAATAATTATTGTGGGAATAGATGATGGCATTTTTAAATCTTTTTAAAATTAAATCTATTAAAATATCAACCAAGTGACAAGATGAGAATTCAAAATTGTTCACATTTTAAACGGTTGTGAGAATAAAAAAATTGACAACGAATATTTATTTATTTATTCATTGAATCAGAAAATGCACTCGAACGATGAAAGATCGTCAAACATTAAACATTGAAACATTATGAAAAATATTTGGGCTAACATGTTATATTAATAGTAACAAAATGTTGAAATACAATTAGTTCTGGTACGTTATATAATGTTATATGCGCCGGAATGGTGGAATTACGCTATATAATTGGTAATAGTTATCCTGTTATATTTGTTATCTTTGGATTGTCAGGATCTCTTGCATGTAAGGGACAGGAGTAGCGAGGTTTGAAGAGAAGTCGAAAATGTGATTCATGTGGTTTTTTGGATAAGTTAGTGATTTCTATTACCGTTGGCATTCGGATAAACGTTAAACCAGGTTAGCGTTTGAAGTAGTTGTGACCATCTATCGGAAATCTTGAACCTACGGATTAACGAACACTTGACGATCGTTGGGAGCTACAACACTGGTAATAGAAGTAAGGATCTTTGAAGTTATAACATCGGTGTCGGTAGTTACTAGCGTTCAAGTGTTACAACAATATGTTAAGTTACGTAACACTAGATTAGCTTGTTACATGGAACAATGGTTTGATAGCAATAAACGATATGAACCACTGGATACAACGGTCAACTGTTATATTGCGCAATGATATCATGTAATGGATGCATGGTTTATGTTTGCCTGCTTGAAAGAAATGACTTGTTGATAAATTTAAATTTGATGCGATTTGTTTTGTAATAGTTTCGCTAATATTATCATTATTACTTATGAGATATTGTTTGCATTTGTTTGAATAACATCAATAAACGTTTACATCACATGAAGCTTTGTTGTTTGCTTATCATTTTTATATAAAGCTCCATGGAAATTCCAAATATAAAATTTTAAATGTCATTGATTAAAAGTACTGACTATGTGGCTATGTGATACTATTGTTGAAACTATCCAGTCACACACAATTAATAAGATAAAGCATTTATACTCATTTACAAATAATAGCTGTTAAAACTCATTAAATTGTATGTATGTATGTATATATATATATATATATATATATATATATAATATTTAATATTCATATATATAATATTTATTATATAAAATAATATAATATTTATGTGATTATCCATATTTTTATTCAGTATTCTATTTATATCTGAAAATTAATTCGACATACAAATTGTTTGAAGAACGCATTTCAGACTGAATAACTACACGAGATATTAACTGCTGACAAATTGGTGATTGATAAACTTCGGTAATTTAATTTCAGTTGAGGTTCACACACTGCTATTAAAACTCCCATTCATGAGTCGGGATTGACATTTTCAAATGAAAGGACTTCTAAATATAGGTTGTTGGGTTAGTTAGATGGAACGAAACAGTTGAATCGAGTGCACGCATGCACACACAACAGATTATCAATGAAAGGTTTCAAAATCCTGCTGAGTCAACCGGTAATGAAAATTTAAATAATCTGAAATATTTGATGCGGTCTGTTTGTGTGGTTGATGTTTGTGTGGCTGTAAGGTGTGTTTATGTGTATGCAGGTTCAAGAACTGGTACGTTTCTCAAAGAAATTCTGCTATGGAGGATGGTTTCCGATGAGACATTTCATAGAATAAATAAAAAGATTTTAATTTTTTCATTTAATTTTAATATTCCATCTAAGTCAACTCTATAGTGCTAATCACCTTGCTAGTACGATTAGTCGTCTCAAATTTATTCTTTAAATGACATGAACTTGTGAAGAGTGTAGGTAATTAATAAGCAAAGAGGAACATTATTGAACGTTTATATAATATGTTGGCGGCTATGCAGTGCATCAGCATGTTTCTGACTGAGCTTAATTATTTTCAGCCAAATGTTAATGGCGATATTGAAAATATCGATCACTTGAAACATGTGTTCGTTCATTAATTTATATATTTTCAATACATTAATTAAAATATTTTTTTAAATTTTTTCTGATTCTTTTTATTTCATATCGTCTATAATTATTTACAAAATAGATGAGCTTTATTTCTGTTTTTAACAACAAATTATAATGCTTACCATACCTGACAGCCTTCATTGTTCAGACATCAATGGAAAGCGTGAAAATTGGATTTGCTGGTATCACCGACGAGCTTCACCTACTCACTTGATTACTCATTCATCCACTTAATCACTCATTCATGCACTCATTCATGCACTCATTTACTCATTCATCCACTCAATCACTCATTCATCCACTCATTCACTAACTCATTCATCCACTCAATTACCCATTCATCCACTCATTCACTAACTCATTCATCCACTCACTCATTCATCCACTCAGTTTGAAATGTAGATTGCCTGCCATACCACCAGATGTCCGTCGTTCCAATGTGATAAGTTTTAAATCCATGATAATTAGTAGATGTGTACAGGCATGCTGTGCTGTGATGTGATGATGGTGCTTGCTTGCTGCTTGTATGAAAGCTTCATCCCACATTTGCTTTTGTTTTCGATTTGTTTGATGTTTCATAAGCGTGCCAAACGGTCACAAAATATTTTTAAAGTAATTTTTTGTCGAAACGGAATGAAAAGCGAAAGTATACAATACATTTCTACAGAAACATGTACACT